CCTTACTTAAACTGTGATTGATAAACTTAATCCACTATACAGAAGTTTAAGGTGATAAAAAGTCTTAAGTTGTAGTTGAGTAATTGAGTGCAGAAAAAATATCGATAATTTTTCTTTATGGGGGACAAAATCAAGCGTAGCCGATAAGCTTATTTAATCCGAAGCTCCTATGAAAATATTAAAGCTACATCATTACATGTAATATTATTTTAGAAGTTTGTGATTCTCCAACGCTGTGAAATGCATTGCAGTTGAAAAAACAACATGTAAAATTTGTTGTGACCATAATGCCTGACTTATTGTCTGTAATTTTTGTACAGTGAAAACCATTATATAAATATTGAAACTCATATTTTTTGTGTATCTAATCTAATAACAAATATTGTATAGAACTAAAAATAAAATTACTCTATTTTGATTCAAGCTTGCGATTGTATGTTAATAATAATTTATAAGCAGAAATTTCTGAAATCTTTAATTTATACTAACATTTTTGAGCTAAATTTAAATTCACTAAGTTGATTTTAAAACCTTGAATTATAACATTAAGAAAATTATTACAAAACTCATATAATAAATGATATAAAATTTTTATATTATACAATTATAATGCACCCTCTTACCCCAAAATCGGGAAAATATAAAATAGATCAAGGATATTTTAATGTACATATTCACTAAATTTTTTTTTTATACACGACAGACGTAAAGAGTTTGTACTCGTCTGCAATATGTTAAGTATTTTGTTAAAAGTTCTAAGTATTTTCTCACTCTAAATTATAATTTTTGTTTTTAGGCTTTTCAATGTAATCCTTTTTAAAAAGTACTCAAGCACAAAACTCATTACAAATTACATTTTTTTTTTTCTTTATATAATATTATGTGTGTATATGTATGTAACCTGTCATTTCACATCAATTACGGTGACGGGTTCATATTTCAGAGAATATTACATTAATATAAAAGACGCCGCAATAGACTAGATAATTTTTCGATGAAAAAAATTTTCAAAAAAAAATTCATGTGAATTTTTTTTTTATTTTCTCTTCAGACATTCGTGAAGGTTTCATGTAAATTACCTATAATGAAATTGTTGTTGTAAAAACAAAAAAATCCAAAATTTTTCCAAAGTGATTAAAGAAAAATTCTTAAGGTTATATTGACTTAAGTCTTGAATATTTTTTATTTTAAATACAAATAAAATTAGATTTGCAATTTTTGATGATTTTATTGGGGAAAATTTAAACAAAACCAAACGAATTTGTTTACCATTCTGTGCGGTTTTGATTTACAATAATTTCACGCAATTATGCGGTATTAAAAACAAATTAAAAATACAAAATACGCGAAAAGTAAAATTACCTTGTATGCCAATTTGTTTATGAATAAGTCTTAAATATTGTATAAGAATAAATTTACACCGTAAATTAAAAATAATTGTCTGTCTGATAAGATTCTTCTTAAACCTATTAAGTATTTAGCAAAGAGTGAGTTTGGAATTAATTTAAATTATAGAATCTGCCGAAATAAAGAGTTTTTAATTAAATTTTTACTAAAATTCAATTGAAATATTAAAATTTTCATAGACAAATTTGATAAAAAAGTGTAATTTTCATTGTTAAAAATTTAATATTTAAATTGTAAGTCTTAAGCGTATAGCTATTCTTTAGAATATAGCGAAATTAATTTTAAATTTACAACAATTTTGCAAATATTAAAGTTCCTTCTTTTACTTGGACTTTAATTGCATCCATGTAACTAAAATAACTCGGGTCAAACTAAAAAATTGAAAGGTTGAAAGGGTAATGTCTTTAAAATTCTCTAACTAATCTATGTTAATTGTGATTCTAAAACTCTACCAACAATTTGAAAATTTGAATAGTTTAAATTTGTCTATTAGGAAAAATTCTCTTAGAGTCAAAATTCTATAGACACATAAGCCAAATATGAGAGTAACTTTACTAACTAAATAATTGAAAGGTGTTAAGTGTAATGTCTTTAAAATTCTCTAACTAATCTACGTTAATTGTGATTCTAAAACTCTACCAACAATTTGAAAATTTGAATAGTTTAAATTTGTCTATTAGGAAAAATTCTCTTAGAGTCAAAATTCTATAGACACATAAGCCAAATATGAGAGTAACTTTACTAACTAATTAAATATATACCACTTCTGTTCGTAATACTCAATAAATACATACCAATAATTTGTTTTCTAGAAAATAGAACCAATAGTTCGTTTTCTAAAAGGTATCATCTTTTAAACAATTTTAAACAATGAAAGAAAGCGAAATTATTCAAGTTTAAATCGAATTTATTAAACATTATAAACACAATATTATTTTTGTAATATAATAACTACGAAATTTGAAAACATATTAAAATTGTGAACAATTAACATTAAGATTATCTGCAGTTATACCTGGAGATGACGAATTCAAAAGGAGTCGAAATATTTGGTTTATTAATGTACCAATTCTCGTTCCAATTTTTATATAAGACTTACGTGTAAGAGATCAAGAAAATATTTTGAAATTTTTGTATAGAGGTTTTCCTCTTATACAGGCAGGCCAAAAAAAAAATTTGTATAAAATGTGCCAGTTATTGAAACCATAGTCGTACCCAAAGTCAATTTCTACCAATTTTCGAAAACCTTACAAATAAAATATCAATAAAATTTTCCAAAATTTATGAAATTTTAAATGTTTTTTTTTTTTAATTTTTAAATGTGTTCTAAATAGTAGAATTTGAAAAACAGAATAAAATTTTAAACCACAGTCCATTCTTATTCTATATTTTTTAATCTTTACTCAAATAATTGGAGTATGTAATTTTTTATTTCATTTACAGTCGACAAACAGAAAAAATTCAAAATAAAAACAAACCGACAGAAAACGTTAATTCTGGAAAATAATTTTTTTTTTTTTTTTTTACTTTTCAACTACTCCGCCAACATAACTCCTTAATTCCCTGTACTTTGAATATTTTTTCTCAACTTTCTTTTATAATATTTCTGTTTTACTTTAATGAAAAACAAATCCCAAACGCCATATCTTTTTAGCTTCAACAATCTTCTCTTGTTTTTGGTTTTTTTATATACCTTTCCCTCAAAAGTCCTTGTATGGAAGAAGAACTTTATCCTCCTTTTCACATTCATTCTCTTAATTTACTTTTTCTCTTCTTTGTCAGGTCACAAAGTCTTATCATCGAATAATATACTGTTACTATACGGAACCATAAAAGAAAAACGAACAAAAAAATATTAGGTACGATAAAAACAATTACAATAACAACAACAACACTTAGTTAACTAGAATCAGGATAACAAAAATGGAGTCATCGCCGTTGTTTGAAAATAAAAAACAATGAAAAAAAAAACAAGCAGAAAAATACAAAATAAAAGTATTAAAAAATACAAAAACAAGAAAAAAAAAAACCAAAGTTCTTAAATCTTCTAGAGATTTTCTGCATTATCCCAATAGTAAACGAAAGAGGCATTTATTTTAGTATTTTGCATTTTATAATCCTTTTATCTTCCGTCGAGATATTTAGTCGCTTTATATACTCTTGTATTCCTTGCCGTTTTTTTTCCTCTCTTTTATTCTCCTTTCCTCTCTCATGTTAGTTTCCTTTTATAATTTCATTTATTTATTTCTTGTTTTTCTTGTTTTATCCTTGCTCACTTTATATTTACTGTTATTATTATAATATTATGTTTTTGTTTTTTTTACTATCACTGTTATGATTGGCTTTGTTTTTTTTGCTTTTTTTTTTAGTATAATGTAGAATAAAATTTTATAGTTAAAAATTTAAAATCAGCATAGTGCCAACATTTCAACAAAGTAATGAAACAAAAAAAAAACAAAAAGGATATTGAATAAATTTAATATTTGTTATATCCATGAGGAGTAAAGAAACACACGGAATGAAACAATTTAATTTTGTTTTTTCATTCATGAATATTATGTTAATATACACAGTGTATCAGTAGAGGGAATCATTTAAAAGAGACATAAAAATTTTATAACAGTTTCGAATATAATATATTTATAATTATATAGTAGAGTTGTCGATTTAATTGATTGATCAAATGTCGGTGAAATGTTTTGTTTAATGTTACCCTTCGTAATAATTAAATGTAAATATTTCCCTATAATAAAGGACCTGTTACAAGTAAATTACATTTCTTAATTATAAACTACTCTTTATCTGATGCACAACATAAACAAATAAATTGATTTTTAAATTGAATTTAAATTTTCTTTTCCACCTTTCATTTTTACAATTTAAATTCTCTCCTTTTCTCTGATCAACTGTTTAACATTATATTATTAAAACTCTGTAAATTTTTAACTTTCAATTTGTTTTAACAGAGCAAGCTCAAAGAACTTGAAAAAATACATATGAAGTAATTTTAATATTCAATATTTTTTTATTTCTTCTTTTGTTCAGAATGCAATAACATTACAGGAATACTTTTAAGTCTTTACTAACAATTAGTATTACAAATTGTTGACCCCTGTAGCACATACAAAATTCACATATATTGAAAATACACTATACATATTAATTCCTTATTTAAAAAACCACGTTTGTTTTTTCATGGTGCAAGAGCAAATCAGCCACCTAAAACTTTGAAAAATAAACAAATACAAAGATAATTATATTTCTAATCTCAAAACAAAACAGTAATCATTGTGTATAACAGCTATGCAATTCTCGTTTTTCTACTGAAATAAAAACTAAAATGGAATATATGTATAAGAGTTCGTTGTGGCATTGACAAAGAAAAATAGTAATGTTAACAAACTTTTAATTCTCTTTCTACTTCTCCCCACTCTTACTTAATGCAAAGAGATGTAATAATCAGGATATTATCAGTAAACGTTTTTTAAGCATTTTTTAAGCATTTTGCAAAAAAAAAAACTATAATATTACAATTTAAAAAAAAAGAAAATTAATGTTTTCTAATATTAATGTTTTTCTAATAATAATTACAGGTCTCTTGCATGCGATTGTAATCTAAATCCTAATACAAATGGTACTTTTAATGGTGGTGTAAGCAATGGTGGTAGCTCATCTATTAATGGTGGTAGTAATAGTGGTACTGGAATTTTATCATCAACAACACAAACACATTATGCAACAACAATTAATCCAACGAATCAACGTAATATCGGAAGTTCATCATCAAATTCAAATAATAATGGTGGTAGCAATGGTAATGCACCAACATCATTAAATTCATTTGGCAATAATAATGGAATAATGAGTTCATCGGGCGCATGCATTTGTAATGGTAATAATATTGCTGGTACAGGAAATAATATTGGTGGTAGTACATTATTATCAACAATTAATGGTGGTAGCAGTGGTGGTAATCCAACAATGAGTTCATCTATAAGTAGTAATAATAATGGCGGAAGTGGTAGTGGAAACAGTAATAACATGTTTAGTAATTTCTTTAATGAAGATGGTACACAAAGTAATGCTGAAACATTATTATCATCAAATGCTAAATTTCAAGCTATATCAGCAATTGCTGTTGCACAAGATGGTGTCATTAATGTTGCTGATCAAGGTAAGTTTTTTTTTTCTGCTTTTTTAATTACGTGATTGTCTATACATGTATACATGGCTGTAAACGAAAAAAAAAATATAAATATTTTCGCTTTAAATTTTTCACCATTTAATGAAAATTAGAAGAGTAGGTTAGGAAATGAGCAGAGGTAGAAAAAAAATTGGTGAATTTTACATTACGTTTGTTTTTTCCTTAGTGAATCATTCTGGTTATACATATTTTGTGTCATTTGCGTGAAAAGTTTTTGAAATTGGAGATCTTTTGTAATAGAATAAGAAAAATAACAGGAAAAAAAAAATTTTTTTCTGAAACTCTCAAACTCACAAAATATTCACTTTTAATAAGTTTCTTACAGAAAAAAAAAACCATAAGGAAAAATTTTTCAAAAAAAAAAAATATTTTCCAAAACTAAGGATTTTGAATTTCTTTCCTTATTCAATCATTCAGTATATAAATATTATTATTTTTATATAAATATATATTTATATATAGGTACGCATAAATGTTAAAACTTTAGAAAAAAATTGTGAATCCTTCCTCTTGAAAATTTTATATTTGAAGTGAGTTTTCTGCAAGAAAGCAATGATAAAATGAAAAAATAGAAAAAAAATAGAAAAATAAACCAAAGCTTTATAAAAGAAAATTTTCGCAATTCCTGTACTTATTTTTGAGTATTTAAAAGTTTAATTAAAAATTTTCTAAAATCAAGGAGCAAAAAAAAACAAAAATCAGAAAAAAATATAAATATAACAAAATTTTCAATTAGATAGGTAGGTTTTCTCTAAGGTTATAAGCAGACTTTTCTCTAAATTTTTTTACAAATAACTTTAAGTCACACAACTTTAAAATATTTTTGTCACTGAAGAGCTTGGCACAAAAAAAAATAAAACAAAAATTCTTACTTAAATATTTTCCTCTTTTAAAAACAACAAAATTAAATAACAAAATGAAGAATTTTTATAATTATTATTTTGTATATATGAATAATTCTATAAAATATTTAAATATCAAATTGAAGAAATTAGAATGAAATCACAAAATTTTTCATAATTTTAATTAAAAAAAATATTGTGGCTGAAATGTAAATGATCTTTCTTCAATAAAAATTTGGAGTGGATATTAAATTTAAAATTAAAATTTGAATTTAAAATTTTCATTAAATTAAACTAAGAACTATTAAGAACTATTAGAAATTGTGTATAGCTATTTGAACAATTTAATTTCCAATTCAATTTGAAAATTTATCTTTATTTTACCAAAATTTGAATATCATTTTCATTTTAGTTTAAATATTTTAATTTTTGCTAAAATTATGTGTTACTTTTGCATTAGTGAAATTCTTTGTCGTACGTTTTGTAATTAGAAATAAGATCATGAATGATGAGACTCATCAGAGAAAAAAAAATGCAAGATTCAAAATCTTGCAAATCTTACAAATGTTATTCATTTTGAATGATTTTTATTCAACTTTAATTAGAAAATCATAGCAGGAGCAGCTCTCAAGTCACTTGCTAAAATTAATTTTTCGTTGCTTTTGAAGTATTAGATTACAATTAATTACGAACCATTTACTCATTTGAACTTGTTTTATATAAAGTCGTCATATTTTAAGTTTTGTAAGAGTTTGGATTTAAAATTGTGTTTTAATTGTGCTCATTTTTAAGCGGAATCTTTAATTTCACAAATTTTTTAGCATGTGTACTTTAAACATTAATTAACAAGTTTTAATTAATTGTTCAAATTTTATTTCTTTTCTCAAATTATGGGACTTATACTTTCTTATACAATTTAAAATTGAATTATAATAAAATAATTTGTTATAATATTCTCTTCTATCAAGACTTGTTACCTCGACCTGCATAAAAATATTTAGTGTTTACTTGATTTTAATATTGCAATTACAAAAACGCTCTCTTATATTTTTATATAATTTTGTTTTTAACCTCAATTTACACAAATTCATACTACAACTAATTGCAGGGTACTACTACAATTTAATGTTGCAATTTTTGTATTCCTTCTTATTAACATTCTTAAGTCTTTTTTTGAAAATTTACGCATAAAATATTTATACTCGTACACATTAAAAATATTAATTAATTTCACCTTAACATACATACTCAAATTTAATTAATAGTTTTAAAAATTTAAAAAAAAAAATAAAATAGGCACTAAACTTAGTAGGTCAACAATATAATGGCAACAATTCGCGTAACTCGCGTAATAACTGCGTCGAAAATAGGCAATTTTTAGTTATTAATCTATGTTTCTTATGTAAAACTCATTCTCACTCTAAAATTTTAAATTATTGCAGCAAATTAGTCAAAAAATTCTATTTACAAATTTTAGTTATGAGTAATTTTACAAAGGAGAGTGAACGTTAACGCCAAACAATATGCACTTTTAACTTATTTAATTTTTTACTTAAAATAAACTTTTAGATTTTTCAGCTTTTCCTTTTCGTCTCATTCTTAACTTTTCCTTTGTTTTTAAATGTAGAAAAATATATCATATTAATTATATACTTATAAATTGGAAGAAAATAAAAGGCCGAACAATTTCCACTAGATTTCATTTTGTTAAAAACTAGAGAGAAAAAAAATTGTTAATTTTCATTTTTCTCTTGTGTTGTTAAAGAAAGAAAGGTCTAAAGAGATAAATGCACTGTGAATGAGTAACCTTAATGATAATTTGACCGCAACAAAAAAAGGAAAAAATTCTAAAAATAAAACAAAATTGAATAAAAAGCTTAAAAAATTATAAAACAATAAAAAAAAGAATCAAAAAACATAAAACAATGTACACTTAAATTTTGCCTTCGTATAAAGTTGTAGACTTCTTTCTTTAAAAATAATTTTTTTTTTTGCCTTGAAGATTTTATTTCTCTAATGTAATTTTGAAAAAAAAAAATTGTTGTTATGAAACTCTTATTATAGTTTTAATAATTAAATATTGTCAACGTAAAATCATAGATTTTCAAGTGTATAAAAAAAATTATTAGGTTTTGTAACCTATTCTGTTCACCCAGATTTAGATAGTAGAAAAATACTGCAAAGTTAATTAATTCGAGTAATGAATTCATATGAAAGAACCTATCTCATTATAAAACTAAATGGTCAAACTTTATTCGTTTTCAAAAGATTTGGCATGGTTACACCATTTATAAGTTTGCTAAATGAGAGTGCACACAAACTTGTGTAAAAAAGAATTTATTGCAAAGGCAGCCATTGAATCATCTTTATTATCTACTGTCCGAAATTCGGGAAAAAGAGAGCTCAAATTTAAGCTTGTTTTTCGTGATTCCAATTATATAAAATATAATTTATTTTTTGCCCTAAGATTAAGTCCAAAATTTTCAATAGAGAATAGACCTAGGAAAATAGAAAAACATGTTGAAAAAGTTAAAAATCCGGCTACAACAGTCGTAAAACCACCAAATTTTGTGAGCATATAAAACTCAAAACGGAGAATTCGTTGGTAAACATATTTCATTTTTGTCTTAACTTGATTTAGGCGGTTTGTGTTTGAGGCCACTGGTATACTGTTAATATTTTCCCTAAAAGTATGCAAAAAATTTATGTGCCAAGTAAAATTATGCAAGAGTTTACACGTTTTATTTTTGGCTTAAATCTTAATACCTTTATTTCAAATAAAATTAAAAGTTAGTAAAATTGCTTTGTATGTTTTTAAAAATAATTTCATATTGGAAAGTAAATTATTGCCAAAACCTGGATTTTAAATAAACGCAAATTTTAGGTAAAAATATTCAATTTTCGCAATTAAAATTTTATTTTAAAAGCAAAAACTAACGCAGCTCAAATCCATTATTAATATCAAATCCATTATCACTACGAGCTTATAGTTGGCATGAAATTTTCCATAACAATTTTACTGCTTATTTCCTTTCAACTTTTACAGAATTCCATTGTCCTTTTATAAGTAGTTCTCAATCTTTGTCTTGTCATGTTTTTTAAACTCATATTTTATGTTTTTGTTTTTTTGTAATTTCATTTTTATTTTTCTTCTTCTTCTTCTGTTGCGTATTATGTCCTTAAACAGTATTAACTTTTTATAAAACATTTTTAAAACAAAACAAACAAACAAAAAAACAGAAAACAAAAACACGCTGGCCTTTACATTTTTTCTAATTGTTTTGTTATTTTCTATTCCTTTTTCTTTTTATTTTAGTCCTTTTCATACAATTATTTTTTTGTTTTATTTTGAAGCTAAGTGCATAATCACAATAATTGCTTAAAGTCAAGGATCAAAACAGAAGAAAATAATCATAAACTTGTTTGTAAATTTTTTTTTTTTCCATTTTCTTTTGTTTGTTCCTCTTCTGTTTTTGCGGTTTTCTTAAGAATAGCAAGTAAAATCAAAAACGAATATAAAAAAAAATTTTAAACTTTTCTCATTTTTAGTTTTCTATGATATGAATGAAAAAAAAAGTAAAAAACAAAAAAAAATGAGAAAAACAAAAAATAATAACAGTATTTAAAATAAAAATTAAAGCGAAAATTAAAGAGAAATAAAAAGGAAACTGCATTGAATAAATGAAGGTGAGGTAAAAATGTTTGTTTGTTTGTATAAAATCAAAAAGTGCATCCAATAAAAGTACACAAATTGAAAATCGCTTAATTTAAAAGTAGGGTTTTCATAAGCAAGGTCCGAAATATAACATTCTTATCTCCAAGAAATTTTTTAGAAGTTTGTTAGCTTCCTTAACCAGCTATGTCTTAAGAATAATTAAATAAAAGTTTCTACTTATTATTTTTGTAAACCATTTTGCAAATATGATAGAATTTTCAAAATTCTAGTACATAAAATTCAAATTTTAAAAGATTTTGAATTCACATTAAAACAAATTTCACTTCAGCAACGAATTTAGGCCAGTACTTTTATATAAAATAGTACAATACTAGAATTATTACTAAATTTATTTAAAAGCAATTGTCTTTACATTATAATATAGTACACTTGTATTATTTATGTTTGTAGAA